ATACCTGACAGGTGCTACTGAACTTGCTGCAATGATTGGAGCAATTTCACATCCTTTTCCAAACACAAGGTTAGGATGTTATTTCATAAAAAATAGAAACTCAAAAAAAAGTGCATCTTTTTTTCTTAGGTCTTGGGAAAGATTATATCCTTTTGTTCAGAGTTGCTTTCTGCCTTACTGATTGAAAAGATTCCCATCCTGAACACTGATGAATAATGCACACAGCTTTGTAAAAAGAATTCTCTCCTTGCTATAGGCTGTTTTAGACTGATGTTTCAGCTTGATTTTGCCACTGTTTAGCAAGGGACCCTTTCAGATTTATAAAAAATAGCTTATAAAAATGACACATTAAGCATGCCTCCAGTCTGACGTGAATTTTGATCTTCTGAAATTCAGAGGGAAATCTTTTCAGTGATTTAAAAAGAAAACAGAAAGCACCTATTCTATTGAAAACTTCTAATTTTCAACAAAGGAAAGTGGCAGTGCTAGCCTGGAGCTGCTGTGGCTGACTGTTACACCTAGAACAATGCAATGAATCCTCTGAGAGAGGGCATCCAGGTCAGCGTGTTTCCAGTCTACACCCAGTTAGATAATTAAAAAAAGGTTCATTTTGAAATCTCATCTCTACTCGTGAAGGAAATTCAAGTTGGCCTACCTCCCAGCCACAAATCTAGCAAATTGGTTGTTTTTAAAAGAAAACCATAGATCATGACTGGACTATTGTGGTATATTATGTCTAGGGTTCACACCCTGGCCAGAATTGCTACGGATGCATACCCCTCTTTTCTTGCAATAAATGCATAAACTACTCACTCTCCCCTTTTCAGTTTACAGGCAATGATGTTCTTCATAAAGCTCTCACAACTTTCATTGGGACACAGGCAGGCTTTAAGACCAGCTTCAAGTACATTCTTCAAATTCCCCTAGTGCCTTTGTTCCATGCTCCAATTTTACAGCTGCCCCCACCTTGTCAAAACTGGACATGTATAGAGCTCCACTCATTGCAATAAGCTGGCAGTATCTTCATCCATCCTTTTACAGCTGCCTGTCTGCAGACACCCCAGCACCCTTGCCATGTACATAGTAGAATTGCAAGCAAAAGACTTTGTGGCATGCAGTCACAGCATTCTCTAGGCTATTACCCTTCCATTGTTTCTCAGCCTTCTTTTTGTATTTTCCCTCATTTCTTCCCAGATTTCCTCTTGTACCCACAGCTACGCTCATCACATATTGTCTAAAGCTATAAACAAAGATGAAAGGCAAACACACAGTTACATATAAAAACAATCTTTTATTTTCACATCAAAACAACTTCTAGTTTAATTACTTCTTTGAAAAGGTAATGAGTTTAAAACGTCCTTTGTTTAGCCGCTTAGATATAGCCCAAGTCTGAATGTTTTTGCTATTACAGACATTTTCATGGTACACACGAAAGAGTTTTCTCTCTTAATCCCCTGCCTGAGAAAGGTATGAGAATCTCATGATAGTGCAAGGAATACAAAGTCCACTCTGAGCAGCGGCAAGGACTAAAACAGATGCGTAGATGCCTAAAGTTTGGCTTAGTAAGTGCACATTGAAGCCAGGATTGTCGTTAGTTATGGCAAGTGCTGAGGCCCATTGAAGCTTTAAGTAAAAATGAGGTCTATTTGGAATTCGGCTCACATTTTGACACACCCCTTGTAGGTAATGTATAAAAAGAAGTCTAACCTTTTTGGTGAAATGCAGGATGAATTGAGCTAACAAAGTGCAAAATATATGAAAGGCAATGCATAAACATTGGTTAAATCCTCTCCAAATTCTCCTACCAGGCAAGCGTAGATTATAGTCAATCATTTATGTCCTGGCTAACTGGGGAGGTCCCAGTTGACTGGAAGTTAGCAAATGTGACGCTCATCTACAAGAAGGGCCGGAAAGAGGATCTGGGGAACTGCAGGCCTGTCGGGCTGACCTCGGTGCTGGGGAAGGTTATGGAGCAGATCATCTTGACTGCCATCAGGCAGCACATACAGGACAACCAGGCCCAGTCAGCATGGGTTTATGAAAGGCAGGTCCTGCTTGGCTAACCTGATCTCCTTCTATGACCAGGTGACCCGCCTAGTGGATGAGGGAAAGGCTGTGGATGTGGTCTACCTGGACTTTAGTAAAGCCTTTGACACCATTTCCCACAGCATCCTCCTGGAGAAACTGGCTGCTCATGGCTTGGATGGGCCTACTCTTCTCTGGGTAAAAAACTGGCTGGATGGCCGGGCGCAGAGAGTTGTGGTGAATGGAGTTAAATCCAGCTGGGGGCAGGGGTGTTGA